TTTAGGGGAAATAGTCAGGAAAAAAATTAAGTATGAAAATTAACAAAGGGCAATAACTCAAAAGTAAAGAAGTGCAAGGTAACAATTCTTGTGCACTGCACCTCGGGTAATTATAAGAATCATGCATACCGAGTTTGGGGTCAATCCGACTTGTAGTGACTGACTTATGCCCCGGACAGGCTTAAGGGGGCGCCGAGAACGACGCCGACACCGCCGACGAAAGTAACACATATATGCCGCCTTTTTCAAATTGGGGACGAGTTAACCACTTGTCGAGTTGACCAAAAATGTGACGAGTTGTCCTAGGGACGAGTTGACTCGAAATCAGTTTAATTTACTCTACTTAACTATTGAGAAACTTTTTGTAAAAAAAATGAATAAAGGAACAAGTAGTAATTTAATAGATATAAAAATGGGACCAAATGACAAGAGATCAGAATAACTTGGACCGGATTGACCAATTGGGACCGGAATAACTTGAGACCGGATTGACTTGAGACCGAACTGATTTGCACCGTCATGGGGCCATATGTGGCTACCTAAAAAGTCCATATTCAGGCTATATCCAAAGTCATTTCTTTTGGTATTTTCTGATCGCAAGATCAGTAAATACATAGCTAACATCCACGGTCTAACACAAAATTTCCTCACAGACCTAACAACGCAAAGTAGTTCTCACTCAAAACTGCTTAAAAACCAGCAATTTAAAAGAAAGAATAATTTTTAATGTAGGCATTAAACGAATACAGTGCATTTAAAGTTTACATTAGTCAATAAAAATATGAGGTTACAATCACAAATTTCGCGGATGAATATCTTTTTTACCCAATGAAAAATGTTCGACTATTTCCGTAAAGCTTAATCAATGAAAATGCTATTTTTAGCTATGTCGATTACCGAATACTCCAGAGCGTAGTACACAAATAAATCTGACTGTCGAGTAATGGAATATATACATGTCGGACTGTTTTGGCGAGAAGATTTTCGCTAAATTTTTTTCATCAGTGTTTAACAACAGGTTTATCGTGAACAAAATACCTCGAAATTAATAAGGATTACAAATACGAAATGAAAATTCTCAATTTTAGAATTACAATATATTTGTTTTTATTCACGCTACATACGTATTACTTCACTGTGGTGCAGAGGTAGCGCGCTCGTTTAGGGTGTGAGAGGCCTAAGGTTAAAATCCTTGTCGAGGCAACATTTTTTTAAGTGTCTTTTTAAAGGAAGTAGCCACGATATGCAAGGATAAAGTGTGGCTGTAATAAAAAATGAAAAATGAGTTTTGATGAAACTCTAGATATGCAAAATTCCATATGTATCAATCACAAACTGTTAAACGCAGTCGCTGCGTAAGATGAATAATAGTATATAACTAGAAATGTGTCATCATGCCACGGATGCCCCCGCATGCAGCCAAAATTTCAGATGTTATAATATTTAGTTCCAAATTTGTTTGTACAAATTATTTTTTTCATTTTAAGTTCAAAGCCCTTAAAACTTTTCAATGTTAACACAAACCATTTTCATACAATGTTCAAGGCACTGAAATTATTCAGTCTTAACCTTTTGAAAATAGCATATTTCATAATGGCTACATACATTTCCACAAAAGTGCTGAAACTGAAAGTTCAAAATTTTTCCAACATTCAAGAAAGATAAGTTTGTCCAAAATCATTGAACCACGACCAAATTCAAACTTAAACTGCTTATTCCTAAGATGTATCTATATTATTATCAAAGTGAAAGGGACATAACTCTGCCAAAAAAATCATCAAACCATGACAAAATTCCAACTTGACCTGCCCATTCCTTTGACATATCCATATGTCAAATTTGAGTTGAATATGTAACACTGTTGGGTAGATGATGAACAGAAACTGTAAATTTCATATTATTTTCAAAGTGAAAGGGGCATTACTCTACCAAAAATCATTGAACCATGACCAAATTCAAACTTGGCCTGGGCATTCCAAAAACATATCCGTATGACAAATTTGAGTTGAATGTGTTGTACCGTTGGGGAGATAATAAACAGAAACTGAAAATTTCATATTATTTTCAAAGTGAAAGGGGCATAACTCTGCCAAAAATCATTGAACCATAACCAAATTTGAACTTGACCTGCGCATTCCTTTGACGTATCCATATGTCAAGTTTGAGTTGAATGTGTTGTACCGTTGGGGAGATAATGAACGGAAACTGAAAATTTCATATTATTTTCAAAGTGAAAGGGGCATAACTCTGCCAAAAATCATCGAACCATGACCAAATTCAAACTTGACCTGTATTTTCTCACGACATATCCAGATGTCAAATTTGAGTTGAATGTGTTGTACAGTTGGGGAGATAATGAACGGAAACTGAAAATTTCATATTATTTTCAAAGTGAAAGGGGCATTACTCTGCCAAAAATCATCGAACCATGACCAAATTCGAACTTGACCTGTATTTTCTCACGACATATCCATATGTCAAATTTGAGTTGAATGTGTTGTACAGTTGGGGAGATAATGAACGGAAACTGAAAATTTCATATTATTTTAAAGTAAAACGGGCATAGCTCTGCCAAAAATCATCGAACCATGACCAAATTCGAACTTGACCTGTATTTTCTCATGACATATCGATATGTCAAGTTTGAGTTGAATGTGTTGTACCGTTGGGGAGATAATAAACAGAAACTGAAAATTTCATATTATTTTAAAGTAAAAGGGGAATAACTCTGCCAAAGATCATCGAACCATGACCAAATTCGAACTTGACCTGTATTTTCTCATTACATATCCATATGTCAAATTTGAGTTGAATGTGTGCAACCGTTACTAAGATAATGAACGGAAACTGATGATGACGGAATGACAGAAGGACGGAAGGACGGAAGGACGGAAGGACGGAACAGGGTAACACTATATGCCCCGGCCATTACATGGCGGGCGCATAAAAATAAACTTATACAGGAAAGATCAGAAAATACCACAGAGCATGCAGCCCTTTGATTTTTATATTGGGCCATACGCGGTTATTCACAAGCGGCTAGATAGTCTATTACTGGCAACATTTAAGTTTTTACACGGGGCCATCAGTGGCTATAAGTAATCGAAATTACGCATAGTTCATTGATGCAAACGTTTTGAATTTTTTGTGGGGCCATATATGGCCGCCTACCAGAGACAATTTACAGCCTATAACTAAAGTCATTCCACTTTTTACATGGAGTCATAAGTTGCTATTCACAAGCGAAAAGACAGTATCTATTTTACACGGGGTCATACGTGGCTAACTATAATTATAAGCAATGCAAAGTTCATTGCTGCAACCGTTTAGAATATTTCATGGGGACATACGTACGTGGCTACCTGCAAGAGACAATATTCAACCTTTATCTTAAATCATTTCGGTTTTTTACATTGGGTCACACGTGGCTATATCCACAAGCGAATAGAGAGTCTATATTAATCCAAATTCTGCTTCTTCATATATGCTACATCTTCTGCAGCTTCATCAATATCTCTTGGACTAAAAATCATAATTAAAAACTTATAATCTTATGAAGGTAAGGTTTTTTTATGAAAAATATTTTGACTTTAACAGCATCAAAATATTGTTGACAGTTTAAGTTTTTTTCACGGGGCCATAAGTGGATAAGTAATAAAATAATGCACAGTTCATTGTTGCAACCCTTTAGAAATTTTCATGGGGCCACATGTGACTTTTAAGGTACTCCTATTAAGGAGGTAAATATCTGGTATTTTCCAAAGCGGGTGTGCACCCCTTTATATGGGACTAATTAATAAACAAACTCGGCCATTAACCATTTAAGAATTTTTATGAGGCCATACGTACGTGGCTACCTGCAATACTGTAGTCAATATACAGTCACCTCAGCTTTTACACATAACTATATTATGATTTTTGCAGTCATTTAAAACTTAAAGAATATATTGATATGAAAACATTAATTAATAATTATAGTCCAAGACGTTAGCCAATTTTATTTTCAATGGGCTATTACTATAATAAGCATTACGAATTATGATAATAAGTCTACAGTACCTCGACAACCATTCAAAAATTTACGTGTAGCTATTTGTCGTTATGGCCACTATCTATAGTTTTTTTTAAAGATTTTGTTCTATTTGATAGAGTTTTACAATAATTTTTAAACATACTGATCTATATGCAGACGGAGGAAGAAAATAAACTTACAGATTTAGTGTCCTTGTACGTATTTAATTCCATTTTTAAATTAATAAAACAGTCTTTAATTACATCACTTCACTTATTCAGTTAGTATCTTTAATGATTTACTTCTTCATATTACTACTTAATTAGGCCATTTTAAATTCTGTTGCGCCAAAAAAATCTCCGTTGCGCAGACAAAATGTCCATTTCGCTGGCACACAGTCCTTTACAACATCAACATTGCAGCTATTTGATTATTTGATATACGATTAAAGTTTTTAGATCTTAATCGTAAAATAAATTTATTTATTCAAATAACATTGGTGTTAATTAATTACATATATTAGTACAAACGTTGTGCCGATTTTCCAAAATTATCTCCGTTGCGCCATGAAATTTCCATTTCGCCAGGCATATATAATCTTTCAGTGTAAACATATACAATTTATGAAACACTTTAAAACATACTTACTTAAAAGTGCTAAACAATCATTTTAGATGCTCAAATTCAGCATATTGACTTTAAAAAGGCGTTGTGTCGGGTTTTTTTTTTCAAAAAAATATCTCCGTTGCGCCATGAAATTTCCATTTCGCCAGGCATATAACCCTTCAGTGCAATTAAACATATACAATTTATGAAACATTTTAAAACATACTTACTTAATAGTGCTAAACAATCATTTTAGATGCTTAAATATAGCACATTGACTTTAAAAAAAGGCGTTGTGCCGGGTTTTCTAAAAAAATATCTCCGTTGCGCCCGTTGCGTCCGTTGCGCCAAAAAATCTCTGTTGCGTATTTTAGTGGTACCGCCTAGCGATTGGTGTAGTGCGACCTTGACCTGTCAAATCGTGCATTTGCAGATAATATAATGGCAGAAGAAATAACAAACGCTGCTCTTAAAGAGAAGATCTCTCAGTGGATGTCATGGAGTAAAGTGAGTTTAATTTATTGCAATGTAAATTTAGAGTTGCCATTCGATAAATTAATTTGAAAGTTTATAGACTGGAAAAAATAACGATTCGTTCTATACATGATTCGACCCATTAATGAGTTACCACAATTAAACAGTTATAAATTTACAATTTGCACTACTTTATTTGAAGTTGTGTATTAAATCATTGCCGTTTGTAAATTGTTAAATTTAAAAATTTGTTTTTATATAAAATATGATAGTAGATACTAGATCTATAACATTTTGCTTGTTTTTAAATTATGTTTTTTTGCAAATTATAGCATAAAATCGGCTATTTTTCCCTCTTTTGCCCATGTTATAACGGGACCAAAACCATGTGTTAACATAGTCACACGCTCTTGTTATAGCCCGGTTTCACCTATGCGCAATACATTACAGGGCCCAGTAAACAAACAAACAAACAAACGATTTGGCCTGTTTGCCAAAGAGTCATGCGCTCTTGTTATATTGAAATTTATTGATTCGAGGGCCTCAGTCGCATATTCAAGTAACTATGCCGGAAAAACGGCGTATAGACATCGGTGCTAATCTTGGTTGTCGCCCTTTCTAAGAAACGGACAGTTGTCAATGTAAACAAATACAGTAGAATCTACCTGTCATTCAGTTTAACACTCCGATTAACTTACAAAACTAGATAACACAAAATTAATATGAGAAAATGTTTTTTATTTATGTTAATGTTGATAAATGCTCTTTATATTTCTTTGAGAGAATAATGCTTAGTGCTTGATTTTTTTATAAACTTGTTTGCTTGAAAAAAAACCGATTCTGAGACTGATGTCACTGATCCTTTTTCTACCGTCAATCTGAAATCATTCTAAGAATTTCTGAGGGTCATGTTTTGTCTTGGGTAGAGGGTAGAGTAATGTAAAGTTTTTTTTTCTTGAGATAATAAATCTCCAAAGGCCAAGCTTTGTTAAATTTTTTCTTTTTGTTAAATCAATTAAAGATCCTGTATGTTTTGTAATTGAGATTGCATACCACTCTTCATTGAATTATATATGTATGTAATTATGCAAATTTGACAATTTTCAAACATGGAAGAATATGTAAAATATGTATTGCAAATATTTGTACATATTTAAGGTAATCATTAAATTATATGCATTCATTTCTTATTGGAAAAATTGACTTAGAATTTATAGAAAACTTAATTCTAATTACCTCCCTTTATTTACATGAAATATTAAATTCGGTAATATCTTTATAAATAATGTTTTTTGAAACTTACAATATCGATAAATCTTAATTTGAGCATCATAATTTGTATATAAAACCATAAAAATAATGTGTTACAGGATCTTTAAAATTCAAAATTTCGTTCGGTTCCGAGAATTTTCCAAGTTGTTGGCCCTGGAAAAATGAAACGCATACGTAAAACATAGAAATGGATAAATACCGTCCAAGCACAAGAATTTAATGTAATTGTGTTTTGTATAAACTATACATCACGAGTCCCTCGGAACTGTTGGAGCCCTCGCCCTACCGGGCTCTGGCACCAACCGTTCCCCGGGACTCTGCAGACGTTATAACACGGAAAAACGTGCGTTAAACCTATATAATCTTCTGTTTTCATTTATAGTCTTACCAATGATTTACTAGGACTAGAAGGTTAGCTTCTAGATACCATCTCTATAACGATGGTGATTATTATAAGTAACCATCTCTCAACCAAAATGTTAAATTGGCCATGATAAACTTTATATTTTACACATAAAATGATAATACTGCAAACGAGATTTTCAAAAGCTGTATTTGCAAAATGAAGGCTTGCATAAACATTGATTGATTTTGCATTAGTAAAAAGATGAAAAAATACAGTAAATTTGATAAAAGTGAAGTATTTTTAATGAAATATCTATGTCTTTCCAAATGTTTTAGTTATACGTTGTCAATACATGGTTGCAGTGCAGTCAGCAAATTATGACGTCATACGAGGTCTTTTTCACCAATTCTTAGGTCAAAATAAAAATGGCGTCAAAATAGATGAGCGTCAAAACACATGACCTCACTACGATCCAAGCCAATGTCCACAAGTACTGCTACCCTGGATATTTCAAAACCTCGTCCAGCTTCCTTAGATTGGACTCACTTGAAGACAATCTCGGATGGTAACCGATCACTGGTGAAGCCCCCTGATCCATCCATGCCTGGACTCCTTCCAGTGTAGGATAGGTAATGGTGTCACAAAACACACCAACCACTCCTACCAAATTGACCGCATGGGTTTCTAGAGGATTTATACTTTTCTTATGCCTCTTGAGAAGTATCAGAAACCCTCAATTCATCAAGGGTACTTATCCAGATGACAATGACTATCAAATGCATCTGGATATTGTGGAAGCCGGGACTTATCTTCCTCAGACATATTGAATAACTGTTCTCTTGCTTTTCCTTCTCTAACATTTAGACCATAAAGAGAAGGAACTTCTAGTGAACTAAGATTTCAACATTATAACTAAGAGGCTTTAATGTGAATTCTCAGGCACTGACCTTTTTAGAACGTACAGGAAATCCCTCCTAGCCTGTGCTGATAAAGCATCAGGCTCCTCTTCCACAGGTGGTGGACTAAGTGACACTACTAAATTGATTAAATCACTTAAGTCCCAATGTGTACCAAAAAACCACCTGGTTATTAGGGTAAGGGCATTTAACCTTCTCAGGGAGACATCCTCCCCAAACAGATGAGGGTTAAACACACCCTGTAGATGACAAATCAATGCACATTTGTGATTCATCTCTACCATACAACCAGACACCAGACACCTCTTCCCAGAAGGAGAGGTAATATTGATGGACAGTTTGGGTTTCTTACCAGCTCTGACCACACTTTCTGGATGATCACAGGGCTTAGATTTATTACCCTGAGACCCTTTTAGCTGTTTTGGACCAAAAATACCAGAAACAGTCCTTTACAGTTCTGCATAAGTTCTATCACCCATGCCTGGCCTTGAGGCCTTAGCCGGGCAGCTTATGAGTGTGTGCCTTTTGGCTCACTCATACCCTCGCACATTAGTGGCTTCTCCGGACTTACCAGCTTTACTGGAGTATGGACAGGACTAGAGCCCAATAACTTGTCCACACCCCCTGAGGGCGAGGAGCTCACCTCACACTCAACACCCTTGGCAGCCAATAAAGACTGTTTAGGTGCTTCCTCAGGTTCCAGGTGTTCTCCAGTTCTCTCCAGTGAAGGATTTGACTTGAGATGAATATCCCTACTTTGACCTTAGGGTCACCTTTCACATATTACATATATTACGAAGCCAAGCATTTGATTTCCTCCCCTTGGCCAGCTCAACTTGGTCGTGAGTGAGATGCATAACCAATCTTCCCTGTTTGACCACTTCGACAAGCACTTGCATGTATATCTTTTGTTAAATGTTTTGGCAAAGCCAAAATGTATCACATGACTATCTTTTGTTTTGGCGAAGTTCCCAAACTACAGCCTCATTTTGACTGTTTTAATTAATTGCAGTGGAATGTTTAATTTTAAGATAATAGCAATCAAATAAAAATAAATTCTATATGACTGTGGCCATCCTTAAAAAATTGTTTGTTTGTAGTGCTCCGACCCTATGTTCAAGAGGTGGGTAGGTAGGTAGGGATTTTTTTTTTTTTTTTTTTTGAAATTGTTACAAAATTGAAGCATACTGAGTAGAGCAATACACAGTATATAGTCTCCCATGATATACTGTGCATTGTATTTAGACAAATTAAAATATGTAGGCAAATGTATTTCTGTTGATATTTTCTTTGTTTAATATTTCAAATGATAACTGTTGAGACATACAATGTAACACTTTTTTGTTGTTTATTTTACATCTATTTCATCTTTAAACAAAATAATTGAACTTGTTCCTTATTTACTGACATTAACAAGGTCTGGAAAAAGGTGAAAATATCTTTAATAAAACAAGTGGTCTGAGAAAAATATATACAATATGATTACTTGACAGATCTAGCCCTTTGAGAAAATAGAACAGAATTAGTCTCAATACCAGTATTTCAGTGTTATTTGAAAATGCAATTTACACTGCAAGTATAGGTGTTTTGTTTGTAAAATCAATGATTACCACCTTTTTTGATGACCACCTAAGATTTCATTTACTGGTCCTGACTTGTCAGATTCTAAATGCACAAAGAAGGGAGGGGTGTAGCAAATCCATTTCTCATTACTATTGAATAAAAGGAATTATCCTGCAAATAATATTAATCTGGTTTGAATATAATTATTTGAAATTAAATGACTAATAGCAAAATTTTTTAGCTTTGATTTTTTTGTTATTGTTTGTTTGTTTTTTTCTTTTTTGTTTGTTTGTTTTTTGTTAAATTTTAGGGGTACACTTGAAAATTTAGATTACCTTGCCACTTAATCGTATTAACCCAGTTAATTAACTCCATTCACTAGCCAGCATAATAATAGATCATTACGTATGTTACACCTGTCACACAGTCGTGTGTACTTACCATATATGGCAGTGTAGTATGTAGAAAAATCTACGTCACCTGCTGTATACATGTATAGTGTGTAATCAACAGGTCCTGGAGCCTGGAGTTTGTTTTGAAAGTTGATTTAAAGAGAGCAACAATTAATAAACCCATTTGGGTGTTTAAAAGGGAATATAGTACGGACAATTACAAAGGAGAAAAAAGGAACAAAAAAAAAATTAAAAAAAAAAAATCCTCCAAGGTGTAAAAAATTTTTAGAGTCGGGGCCATTTTCATGGGTCGGTCGGAGCACTACAAACAAACAATTTTTTATGGATGGCCTGAAGATTTAAGTGCCAATAGGTCCGGGAAAAGGCATTCAAATGCCAATAATTCCTTGTAAAAAACTGCTTTAAAGTGTTAAAACCAATTTATATTTCAGAATGAGAAAGACAATGCTGAAATAGATGGACTTGTAAAGAGTAGAAATGAAAAAGAACTTGGATGTCGTCTACTGCAACGTATGGAGTTCGGCACAGCAGGTTAGTAAAATATTTAAATCGCTTTTAAACTGTAAGACACTGTGTTCTTTGTCAAATTGTGTATGTGCAGGCTTGTAATTTTTGACCAAGGTGCCTAATTACAATACAGGGGTCCTTGGGTAGGGAAATTTCACATCATATTGAAATATTGTCATATTTAATACTATTGAACACTTGTTCTCATGCTTAGCTAAAAATTTCTAAATAAGTTATATATTTATTTTTAAGGGCTAAGAGCAAGGATGGGAGCTGGTTTCAATATGATGAATGATTTAACTGTGATACAGGCTACCCAGGTAGGTGATATTCTGTTTATCACAATGATATGATATATGCTGTGTTTATCACAATGATATATTATATACTATGTTTATCTAAATTATATACTATAATACTATGTTTATCACAATGACATACTATATGCTATGTTTATCACAGTGATAAATTATATACTATGTTTATCTAAATGATATACTTTATACTATGTTTATCACAATGACATACTATATGCTATGTTTATCACAGAGATATATTATATACTATGTTTATCTAAATGATATACTTTATACTATGTTTATCACAATGACATAATATATTTTTTTTACACTGATATATTATAACTATGTTTTTAAAAATGTATATAGTTTTTACTCCAACGATATGAAGACTTTTGTACTCCCCCCACCCTTTGTCTTTGGGTCGCATCACATTTAAAGTTTTTCATGCAATTTTTTTTTATCCCCAAAAATTGAAGGGAATGGGTTAAAATTTAAACATTTATTCAAGAGAGATAATAAAACGTTTGCCCATTTTACTCACACTTCATTATCATGGCTGTTGTTTAACTATCAAGCACTGAGAATACTCAAGCATGCTGTCCCACTGACAGCTCTTGTTAAAAGACAGTTAAGTACTGGATTAGTCCATCTCTGGTCACACTAGGACTGGGTTAGTCCAGCTCTGGTCACACTAGAACTGGATTAGTCCAGCTCTGGTCACACTAGGACTGGGTTAGTCCAGCACTGGTCACACTAGGACTGGGTTAGTCCAGCACTGGTTACACTAGGACTGGGTTAGTCCAGCTCTGGTCACACTAGGACTGGGTTAGTCCAGCTCTGGTCACACTAGGACTGGGTTAGTCCAGCACTGGTCACACTAGGACTGGGTTAGTCCAGCTCTGGTCACACTAGGACTGGATTAGTCCAGCTTGGTCACACTAGGACTGGTTAGTCCAGCACTTGGTCACACTAGAACCGGGTTAGTCCAGCTCTGGTCACACTAGGACTGGTTAGTCCAGCACTGGTCACACTAGAAAACTGGGTTAGTCCAGCTCTGGTCACACTAGGACTGGGTTAGTCCAGCACTGGTCACACTAGGACTGGGTAGTCCAGCTCTGGTCACACTAGGACTGGGTTTTAGTCTAGCACTGGTCACACTAGGACTGGGTTAGTCCAGCACTGGTCACACTAGGAACTGGGTTAGTCCAGCACTGGTCACACGTAGGACTGGTTAGTCCAGCACTGGTTACACTAGAACTGGTTAGGTCTAGCATGGTCACACTAGGACTGGGTTTAGTTAGCAACTGGTCACACTAGGACTGGGTTGTCCAGCACTGGTCACACTAGGACTGGGTTAGTCCAGCACACTGGTCACACTAGGACTTGGGTTAGTCCAGCACTGGTCACACTAGTATGATTAGTCCAGCACTGGTCACACTAGGACTGGTTTTAGTCCAGCTCTGGTCACACTAGGACTGGGTTAGTTCCAGCATGGTCACACTAGAACTGGGTTAGTCCAGCTCTTGGTCCACACTAGGACTGGGTAAGTCCAGCACTGGTCACACTAGAACTGGGTTAGTCAGCTCTTGTCACAGCTAGGACTGGGTTAGTCCAGCACTGGTCACACTAGGGGACTGGGTAAGTCCAGCTCTTGTGTCACACTAGGACTGGCGTTAAGTCTACACTGGTCACACTAGGACTGGGTTAGTCCAGCACTGGTCACACTAGGACTGGGTTAGTCCAGCCTGGTCACACTAGGGACTGGGTTAGTCCAGCACTGGTCACACTAGGACTGCGGTTAGTCTAGCACTGGGTAACACTAGAACTTGGGTCAGTCCAGCACTGGTCACACTAGGACTGGGTTAGTCCAGCAATGGTCACACTAGGACTGGGTTAGTCCAGCACTGGTAACACTAGAACTGGGTTAGTCCAGCACTGGTCACACTAGGACTGGCGGTTAGTCCAGCCACTGGTCACACTAGTACTGGATTAGTCCAGCACTGGTCACACTAGTACTGGATTAGTTCCAGCCACTGGGTCACACTAGGACTGGATTAGTCCAGCACTGGGTCACACTAGTACTGGATTAGTCCAGCACTGGTCACACTAGTACTGGATTAAGTCCAGCACTGGTTTTCCCCTTCCCCCCCCCATTTCTTCCCACTAGGACTGGGTTAGTCCAGCACTGGTCACACTTAGAAACTGGGTTAGTCCAGCACTTGGTCACCACTAGGGACTGGGTTAGTCCAGCTCTGGTCACCCTAGGACTGGGTTAGTCCAGCACTGGTCCACACTAGGACTGGGTTAGTCCAGCTCTGCGTCACACTAGGACCTGGGTTAGTCCATCTTCTGGTCACACTAGGACTGGGTTAGTCCAGCACTGGTCACACTAAGAACTGGGTTAGTCCAGCACTGGTCACACTAGGACTGGGGTTAGTCCAGCCCACTGGTCACACTAGAACTGGGTTAGTCTAGCACTGGTCACAACTAGGACTGGGTTAGTCAGCACTGGTACACTAGAACTGGGTTAGTCCAGCACTGGTCACACTAGGACTGGGTTATGTCTCAGCACTGGTCACACTAGGACTGGGTTAGTCCAGCCACTGGTCACCACTAGGATACCTGGGTTAGTCCGCACTATGTCAACACTAGAACTGGGTTAGGTCTAGCACTTGGTCACACTTAGGACTGGGTTAGTCAGCACTGGTAACACTAGAACTGGGTTTAGTCCAGCACTGGTCACACTAGGACTGGTTAGTCCAGCTCTGGTCACACTTGGACTTAGGTTAGTCCCAGCACTGGTCACACTAGGACTGGGTTAGTCAGCATCTGGTCACACTAGTACTGGATTAGTCCAGCACGGTCACACTAGAACTGGGTTAGTCCTGCACTGGTCCACTAGTATGTTGTCCAGACTGGTCCCTAAAGGGGTTAGTCTAGCTCTGGTCAATAGGAGGGTTGTCCGACTGGTACATAGGATGGTTATTTCCCGGGGTTCCCCAGGATGGGTTAGTGTCGGGGTCCTAGAAGGGGTTTAGTCCAGCATGGTCACCAGAACGGGTTGTCCGCACTGGTCAAAGGAGGGGTTTTAGCCCAGCACGGGTAACACTAGAACTGGGTTAGTCAGCACGGGTCACACTAGGAGGGTCAGTCCAGCTCGGGTCACACTAGGTCGGGGTTTAGTCCAGCTCTGGTCTCCTGACGGGGTTAGTCTAGACTGGTCCCAGGACTGGTTAGTCCACCCTGGCCCAACTAAAACGGGGGTTAGTCTAGCTCTGGGTCACATTTAGGACTGGCGTTAGTCCAGCACTGGTCACCACTAGGTTCTGGGTTAGTTCCAGCTGCTGGTCACACTAGGACTGGGTTAGTCTAGCACTGGGTCACACTAGGACTGGGTTAGTCCAGCATCTGGTCACACTAGGACTGGGATTAGTCCAGCTCTGTCACACTAGGAACTGGTTAGTCCAAGCACTGGTCACACTAGGACTGGGTTAGTCCTAGCACTGGTCACACTAGGAGAACTGGGTTAGTCCAGCACTGGTCACACTATGAACTGGGTTAGTCCAGCACTGGTCACACTAGACTGGGTTAGTCCAGCACTGGTCACACTAGTACTGGGTTAGTCCAGGGCACTGGGTCAACACTATTGGATTAGTCCAGCACTGGTCACACTAACAAGTACTGGATTAGTCCAGCACTGGTCACACTAGTACTGGTTCTTAGTCCAGCACTGGTCACACTTAGAACTGTTAGTCCAGCACTGGTCACACTAGGACTGGGCTTAGCATCCAGCACTGGTCACACTAGAACTGGGTTAGTCCAGCACTGGTCACACACTAGGACTGGATAAGTCCAGCTCTGGTCACACTAGGACTGGGTTAGTCCAGCACTGGTCACACTAGGACTGGTTTAGTCCAGCACTGGTCACACTAGGACTGGTTAAGTTATTTTAAATTGATTTAGCGTAGACCAAACCAATATTTATTATCACCATTGGTATTAGTGATTTGTAATAAATAAAATATTTTTCAGTATTTGTATTAAATTATTTTAAGTTTGAAAAATTTGAACACACATTATTATTACAATATATAATTCATAATTGTATGCACTTGTCACAGTTCAGAAAAAGATATTGACCCCCAATTAAGAGGTAGCCCGAAAGTTTTTGAGGGTTTGGGTTTTGAGCCCTGTCGGGTTAAAAATTTTTTCGATTTTCTCAAATCTCGAGAAATTTCATTGGTCAGTGTAATTCTGTGACAGTTTCTGCCCAATAAAATCCCTGAATTAAGTTTGAGTTTGAAGAATTTCTTTTAATTTTTGGCCCTGGTGGGCTGCACATTTTCTAAAATGTGAAACAATTAGTTGTTTGGCATTTTTTAATTTTTGCCTTTTTTCCCTGTAATTTATTGTTTCTGATCTTTTGATTCATCAAAAATAAGTTAAAGATTTAGGGCAACATAAGTAATAGTTTTGTTTCCCAGAGATTATCATGTATTTGATAGATGAATTATCACGATCTGTGTGAATTTTTCAGGTTCAATTTCAGTATCAGTTTTGTTGATTTCTAGGTTGTATATTTGGTTTGCTTAAAAAAATTTGAAAAGAAAGTTTAAAAAGTTTATAAAAATTTATTATGAGACATGGGGAATAAACAAAAGATGAAAAAAAACCCCTTTAATTTTAAGATTTTTGATTAAAATTTTTATACAAAAGCAAATTTTTTCCCTTAAAAACTTGTCATTCATTTGCCCTAATTGCGGCGGTGAAAATACCCTAGTATAACATAACATTTTTTATCGGTGCTATGCCTTTTATTTTAAAAATTAAATGTAAAATAAAATGAATTATTATATTATGATTTATTTTTTTTTCATACAGGCTAACTTTTAAAACAATTTGATTCCAACTGAGAAAAATATCAAAAAATAAATTAGTTTTAAAATATGTATAAATGTGATTTAATTCGTAGCTTAGAATGTTTAGTCTAGTAAAACTTCTGAACTGAGTGACCCCCCAAAGAAATGACTCTTTCAAAGAATGATTTTTTTTCTAATGAAGGAATCATTGCAACACTTCACAGTAATAATTAAAACACTGTGTGTTAAATCTTAAAAGGTGTTGCTCTGCAAGGTGGGAAACTGTATTTCATAAATTTCATGTAAACCAAGCAGCAGATACTGAAGTCTGATACAAAAAAAGTCATAGATGTAATTAACTGAGCTGCTGCATTGGAATTTTTTATGTATTATTGAAAAAGGCATACATTTATGTTTGCTAATTATAGGAAAATGTTTTTATAATTACAAAAAAAATAATTAAAAAAAGTATACTGCTCTTTAATTTTTTGTCATACAAATAGGTTTAATCTTCCTTATATACTTGAAAATGAAAAATGATTAAAAATTTTCCACCCGTATAGGCGGCAGCCCGTTCCCTGCAATCAGTCTGACCCGCTCTAATTTTTTGAAGCTTGATTTTCAGTGTGTCTGTTCCAAAAAATAAGTGTCAAGCTATAAAGATCGCTGCATTGTCTTCATTGTTGTCAGCATCACTGTCATGTTAATGTAGTTCATTATTAAAATATTTTAAAAAGATATCAAATGGAAATTTTTGAAGTTTTTTAGAATTTTTTTGAAATTATTTAGAAGTTATGCCCCTTTTTTAAGGCAAAAATTTTTAGAAAAGAAAAATATTTCCATTCCCAAAAAGAAAAATTGAAATTATAATGTCATAAAAGTTTCAGGGAATGTTTGATGCAACTTTTCCCTATGAAAGTCATAATTTTTTTGAAATTATTTTTTTCATAAAAGTTGGGGAAAAAAACAAAGTATTTTTACTTCCATACAAAACACAATATAACTATATAACTCAAAATTACATGATAAAATTTTCCAAATTTTAAAGCAAAAGAATAATACCTTTAAACTTTTTGAAAACTATTGACTAAACATAAGATAAAAAAAAAAAGTGTATAGAAAAAAAAAAAAAAAAGCGTTTCTTGGGAATAAGGGCCCTTTAACAGATGGGGATTAAACGCATGGGGAGCTCTTATTGTATTTTGATTTTTTAAAAAAACCCCTTTTAATTTTTTAATAGCCCTTTTCCCATAGTAAAAGGGGTTTTTAAAAAAGTTCTTTCAGGTTTTTTTGGCTAATTTTTTTTAATGTTTTTTTTTTTCCATTGGGGGTTTTTTGAAAACCCAGAATTTGTCAAGCTTTCCTAAGGCAAAAAAAAATGGGTGTTTGTTTTTGGGGTTTGATGGAAGATTTTAAAAATTTTAAGAGGTAGGAAAATTAGAATATTTTTTTTTGACCCGCGCCTTTAACTCCTTAAAAAAAAAATTTTTTTTTACCCATTTTTGTTAAAAAATTGAAAAATTCTTGGAATATTTTTTTCCATAGCCAGTTTAAATTGGCCCGATTTAATTTAATGTTTAAATAAAAATCATCAAAAAAAGGTTAAATTGTGTCCTTTCTGGTTTAACCCTTAAATTGCATTTTAGAAGGTAAACCCCATCTTAGCCATTTAAAGATGCTATTTAAGCAAAAAAAAATTTTCCCTTTTAAAGTGAATTAAAAATTTTTTCATTTTTTAAATTTACAAACAAAATTTGTTTATTTTTCAGATTTGCTCAAACTGAAGCTCCCAAAAATTCCTTACATGCAGGTTTGTAAAAAATATATCTGTTTTTCCAAAAAATTGCCCAACACCAAATTGGGTTTGAAATAAAATTTTTGAACATTTTTTTTAGGGGCTTTTATTTTATAAATTTAAAAATTTTTTCCCCTGTAACGTTTAAATCCCTTAATTTTTCTTTGTTTTGGGTTTTTTTTAAGGGCTTCACTAAAAATTGCTTTTTTTCCTTTAAAGGGAAACCTTTATCAAAATTTAATAAAATTAGTTTTTTTTTATTTGCCAAACCTTAATTTTTGGGGAAAATTTAAACCCCCAACCCCGGTTTAAATTTCCCTGAATAGCCCTTTGTCCAATTTAAAATTTTTTTTGGAAAAGTACAGTTTTGCTTTCTTTTGAAAAAATTTTCAAGATGGAAAATTTAAAATTCCCTGTAGTTTTTAATGAAAACCCAACCAGTGTAAAGTTTTTTCGTTTAAAAGTGATAAAATTTTAATTTAAATTTGCCTGTGACCTTTAAAAAACTTCCTGAAAATTTTACTTTAAAAGACTGGGGGTTTTTTGGGTATATGAAATATAATAAAAATTTTTGCAAATAGGAGAAAACCAAAACCAACTAAAATAAAATGATTTTTTTTTTTAATTTGGGCCCAAATACTATAAAAAAATTTACGATTCAAAAAAATTTTTTTACACAGAAATATGGTATACCTATTTTGTTGGCAAACAGATGATACTGTTAGTGGTATGAGTTTTTTTGTTCTGTTTAGGCTTTTCTGCACACCAACACAATAACAGTCATAATTGCACTGAAACAGGAAACATTATTCTGGCTAACATTTGATGTTACAAACTTAAAGCAACACCTGCGGTCAAAATCAGGGAATGGGTAAAAGTGAAATATTTTACAGAAAATTTTTTTTTCTGTTTTATTTTCGGGCCCTTTATTTGGAAAAAACGAGACTTTTAAAAAATGTCCATGGGGTTTTTAATGGTAACAGCATCACATAATCCTAAAGAAGATAATGGTTATAAGGTAAAAATCATCATGTAATGACATTAAAAATACACATTTTTTAGCAATAAAAAATAATTATCCCTCCTTGAATTTGGTGTATACTTATTGTGTTGTTTTTCGGTGCTAACCTACCAATAGGATACAGCTAGGATATTTTGAAAGTATTCAGTGCACTTATTAACTTAGAACATTATATAATTTTGAAGATTTAAAGAATTTCACCAAGATTAAATGTAATTTGAATGGAACTGAAATCATCTGTTTAGGAAGATTAAAATTTTTTTTTATCATAGAATTATAAAATACAATTCAAAGGTTATGGGACAGTCTGGCACGTATATGTCAAGTTTTCTTCTTTTACAAGTCAATATCAGATTTTACTATCCCTTAGTCTCCTTCTTCATGAATTATATTGTTACTGAAATCATTTGTACATTAAAATCATTTTGATTTGAATATTTCCAATATTTCAGTTTAATTTATTTTCAGGTATATTGGTCAAATGGAGCACAAGTAAGTCTCAATAATACTTTTATATTCAATTCAATACTTAATAATGCCACACAGTATAATAATTGACTATTTCTGGCTTCACGATGCTTAAATCTACCCATTGGTGATAAAAGTAAACCGTATCACTCCAATAAATAAGATTTTATTAATTTCACTTTTCAACCCATTGCTGTGATGAAATGTGTCTTAAGTTGAGAGGTTGTGGATTATTCCAAGTTAAAGAATAGCTTTTCATGCTTTAAAAATACAAGTTACATGAATGTTATAAATAATATGATCCTATATGACAGCCAGTTGTAACCTAGCGCATCACCTACAGGAAATATGAGGAATTTATTTTAGATCAGCAGTCCTTGTAAATGCTCCTCCACACTGCAGGGATAGTCAGAAGTTCAAATCCCCAACACATGCTCTTACACTGTAAGCTACAGTGTGAGCTGTTGACATCCCTTGTCATATTGGCATCAATGCAAAACCTGGTAGTGCAAAGACATATGGAAGGTTAATTTTTCTCCCACCATCTGGGGATCATTATCCCCCATAATGACCTGTAGTTTGGGGATCCAGGGTTACAATTGACTTGTACATCAAGCCTTTGTGGTTATCATAAGTCTTAACCAATTTTACAACTTTATTTTACTAACAGTTTTCCAAAACCAAATTTGACACTGAAATGGTCATTTCTGAATTTCCATCATTCCTTTTGTCTAAAACTTGATAAAGATAATTTTCCTTTTGTACTATTATGTTACAGATAGTGTCTCCAGTTGATAAGCATATATCTAAATGTATAAAGGAGAATCTAGAGCCGTGGCTGAACTCGTGGGATGTTGACTTTACAGAGACAAGTCCTCTCCGAGTTGATCCTTATGATGATATACACACAAAATACCAGGAAGATGTGAAAAAACTTTGCTATTACAAGTTAGTTAATGACGTTTGCTGTCATACTTTTGCTTATTTAGTTAAACTTTTTGTGATTTACCATGACTTTTGGTTATTTAGATAGGCCATTTGTAATTTACTGGGATCAAGGTTAGTTAGTTACCTAAACCTTCTGTAATTTACCATGTGTTACTTTTGTGCAGTAATGGAATATGTTCTTCTAAATTTTATAGGAGTTTATAAGTTATTGCACTAAGGTGACACATGATGATGATTGTTGGTTATTACGATAAACTTTGGGTGAATAACCTTGTCCTTCTTTTTCTGTATTTCCATATAAATATAAACAGAACAAGGGGGTCTCAGTGGCTGAGTGGTTATGGTCATTGACTCCAAACCACTTGACCCTCAATGCTGTGGGTGTGAAGCCCAATAGGGACTTTGGATTCTTTCTTGTGAGGAATCTATCCAGCTAGCTTATGGAATGTTGATGGTTCTATTCAGGTGCCTGGGCATGTCTGAAATAATGCACGGAAAGGCACCTAAGGTCTTCCTCCACTAGTAAAGTTGGCAAAGATGCCATATGATCTAAACTGTGTTGGTGCTATGTAAAACCAAAGCAAAAAAAATGAACAGAAGAATTAATCTTGCATGTATACTATTTTCAAATGATAGGGAAGAGAATGGTCAGTCAAGTGTAAAGTTTACATATACAGCCATGCACGGAGTAGGGTATATTTTCTCGGATAAGTCTGTGCAACAGTTTGGTTTTCCGCCTCTGATTCCAGTGCCAGAACAGGTAAAAGTCATCCTTGTTTGTTTTATAAATTGCTTGTCTTTTTTGGGGCATGGATGTGATTAAGAATTCTTTCATGGATTGATTTTCACCTAAGTTTAAACACGAGTTTGGCACAAGTTGGTACAGTTATAATATTAGCGGAAATGCTTTTAACTAGACAGAGTAGGGCTCAAACCTATGATCCCTGTATCCAGTTGGTCACCAAAACCATTTTCACCATTACTGAGGTTAGACGGAATCCTGCTGTCTGGAAGATAGTTGTTAAAGCTAGCATGGCCGAGTGGTTAATGCATCGGACTAGTAATCTGAGGATTGCTATCCCCTTGGGTTCAAACTCTGTCATGAGCAAGCTGTTGTTTCCTTGAGCAAGAAACTTTACACTCATTGCTCATTTCTGGCTTCTTCAAGGAATGGATTTGAGAGTGTGTCTATAAGCCTAAAGCTTCATACACAGTCAAATTAAAACAAAATCTGTATAAACCATAAAGCTAGCATAGGGAAATTTATTGTTGCATGCTGATGTCAGTGCAACTGAAATATAGTGCACAAAAAGTCACTTTATATGTTCCTATAAGACTTAAGGATAAAATAAGACTTAGTTATTTTGTTTTGACTAAGAAACCAACCTAGCTAAAGTACTAACAGGTTTATCAACTAAATGCTGTAATTTTGTTGTAGTTCCTATAATTCCATTGTTAAAGTAAATGTTAGTAGATAATTCCATTGTTAAAGTAAATGTTAGTAGATATAACAATAACATTATATCCAGAACAAGGTTTCATAAAATACCGGAAATGGCCATTTAAATGCGCTTCCACAATGGCAGTGTATGAAATTTTTTTTGGATATTATTATATATTTATTATATTATATAACAAAAGATGCATATTTTTTTAATTTTAGATACTTCCGGATCCTGACTTCCCTACAGTAAAATACCCAAATCCTGAAGAAGGAAAAGGGGCCCTGGTAAATATAATTGTTTCTGTTTTTGTTTTCTTAAAGACATTTGGTACACAAGTGTGCCCTATACTGGATGCATAGGCATTTATTACATTAGTGGTTAATATTTTGAATGTAAAACTTCACTGGGTGTCATCCATCTAAAATAATGTAACTGCCAAAGATTCAATTTATTTGTTAAGTTTAATTGTATTCAATTTTATACAACTTATGCAACTTACATCCCTGTCCGCTTTTGAGACTAACAAGATCTGGTGTGAGATGAAGAATCATGTATTGCTTGAACCCACAACCTTTAAATTGAGAGGCAGACACCTTAAATGTCGGACTACTGTTTTAAAAGTTTGGGTTATCAACAGTCATTGAATGATTTTTTACATATTTAATGATGAAAATTTACATTTTTAGCATCACCATGAAATTTGTTTTTGTTTTCCCCTATATTGAAGGGTTTCAAGGATTGTCATTTAGATGAATTAACACTATATACATTTGCTCCATTTCTCATATTTGAACAAGTATTAATTACACAAACTATCAATTGTAACCCTTTCAAAGAATATTTGTTATAGTAATTACCTGGAATAATATTTAATAGCGATATCTTATAATAATGGAATTATCTATTAAAATGAATACCCAATCATTTATATTATTGTATTTACGGTAATAAATATATAGTATTTTACAGTAATAAATATGCTGTAATTACTCTGGTAGGTGTTATCTATGAAAACTGCTGACAATGCTGGTAGTAAAGTTATACTTGCAAACGACCCTGATGCTGATCGACTAGCTCTAGCGGAAAATGACGGGTAATTTAGTAACATTCTTACTTGTAAAAAATATTGTGGCCTTTTTTTTCTGAAGAGGGCAAAAATATTTGTAAGTGCGCAATACATGCATTGATAGTAATATTTTGTGAGAGGATGTTTACACAATATTCGTATAAAACAAACACTGGTGCATAGAAAGTAGGTGAAGGAGACCTCGTTATAAAATTTGGCAATGATCAATCTTGTTTGCTTATTGCCAGTATAAAAAATTTATGTCAATGTCTGTTGCCAGTATAAAAAAATTAGCATAAAAAAGTAAACAATATTATACAGTGAGGATAAAATGTTACAGGAATAGGTTGACATTCTCTTGTTTGTCTGTTGCCAGTATAAAAAATTAACATGAGAATTATACAATATTATACAGGATAAGAAGGTTACATAGGTTATAGATATAGGTGACTGACTGTAGCCTTGAGAAACAGAACAAAATATGTTCTTTTAAAGATTTCTCAATCACAAGAAGATAAGCTGTAGTAGTCTTTTAACACTTTGAAAATGAAAAATGTTACAGATATAATATACTATTTGTGTTGTGCATTATTGATGCATTTACACTTATTTTTCCAATATTTATTTTTGTGTTGATACTTTTATTGTTTCTCATATATGTAATGCCTTCATTTATTGACATTTATCTTAGATATTTCAAAAGTAGGTATATCTTGCATTTACTATAACCATAGTTAATTTGATGGTAACTTGTACTGAGTCAGGCCAGTATTTTTTATGTGGTTTGAAGTCACTAGGGTTAAAGTCATTGAGGCTGAATTAGATTTTACTATTTACTAAGCTGTTCTGCTAGCTTAAGGATTGTCGGTGGTGCAACTTAAGTGACCGTTCATTCCTGAAATAATGCACAGAATGGCACCTGAGGTCTTTTTTCATAAGTAAAGCTGGAATGTTGCGTTATGTCCCATACTGTATTGGTGTGACGTAAAAAAAAAAAAACCAAGCAACTATAATATTTTATATTTCAGTGAGGAGTGGACGATATTTACAGGGAATGAGATAGGAGCTCTGTTAGGATGGTGGTCCTGGTTTGCTTTCAGACAAAAACATCCCAATGTCCCTGGTAAGTCTGTTCTTACCATTCATATTTATTTGCTTTTCATGCTAACCATGTCCCAATTTTTTCAGGGAAAATTTTTAACATTTTTGTGCTTTTGTCCGTAACATATAAGTTCAAGGGACCATGAGTTCAAGCCCTGAGCACAGAACAGTTGTATTTTTCTATGAATAATTTATCATGAATTTAAAATGGAAAAGTAAAATTAAATCAAGATACCTTAGTTGTATAGTTTGTTTTCTTTAACAAAAATGGAATGTCATTTATGTAATAAATTAATATATTTACAGCACAAGATTGTTACATGTTGGCCAGCACTGTGTCCTCTAAAATATTGCAGACAATGGCTACAAAAGAAGGCTTTAATTTTGAGGTAAGCAATGATTGATAGTTTTCGAATATCCCTAAAATTATAAAAGAGTGTAATACACAAATGTGTAGTAAAAAAAATATGTGGAAAATCTTGATTTTCTGTTTTAAGATTTTAAATGCATGTAAGCAAACAGTAAAAAAAAAAAATCCTGCAGAAGTGTATTTTTGCATTTACCAAAAAGTTATACATTGTGACTTAAAGGCTAAAGCATTTTACCCTGCTTTGTACTTTCAGTAAATATTCCATTTAGTATGTCAAATTTCCAAATAAAGACACTCAAAGTAACTGATGATTGAAAAACACTTAATACTGTTATATAGCAAACTAGAATTAGGAATTAGAATTGCAAAGGATAATAATGATGAGAAATAGTTCTTGTTAGCTTATAGGTATTTAATCAAACATGTATTTCATTTAAATTATATTACATCAGCAACTATAGATTTGCATGTACATGTTTTATGCTGAAAAGAACTTGGCCTCCATCATCTTTCCTGTTTCTGCACCATATGACCTAAATTGTGTTTTGGTGCAATGTAAAACCAAACAAAACAAAACAACAAACAAACTTGTATGTGTATTTATGATTCAGGAAACTTTGACTGGTTTTAAGTGGATGGGTAACCGAAGTGATTCTTTGTTGAAAGAAGGGAAAACAGTTCTGTTTGCGTTCGAGGAGGCGATTGGTTACATGTGTGGATCTACGGTGTTGGATAAAGATGGCGTGTCAGCTGCAGCGGTCAGTGCCGAGATGGCTGCGTACCTGTACAGAAATAATAGTACATTGAAGAAAAAAATTACAGACATTTATAAGCAGTAATTATTATTTCCTTGATAGATAAGAGGATATTGAATGAGTATAAGTTTGATACTGAATTTATTGGACAAGTTGAATAAAATTATATTATGTGAGCCTCTGCGGAACATAATATATCTTTATTCAACAAGTTCAATAAATTCAGTAATGAACTCGCACGAAATTGATATTCTATTTATCACATACCAAAACATAATGACTGTTTGACGTGAAAAAGAACAATTTTTATTGACGTGCCTATAATATAACGCTAACATTTAGCTAGTGTAAGTTTGATACTGAATTCATTAAACTAGTTGAAAAATATGTTCGTATAATGCAAATGACGTCATATCAAAATATATGCACGGCCGTGCAATACCATTTTTATGGAGTAGCACAAACGGCACAGGTATGTGATAAAAATATTTACATCATTGAAAGTACTACAGAATCATTAATATTAGTAGTTGTGGTTTTCGTTTATATGTTAATCTAATAAACATTGCAGGTTAATCTAGACCTATATTAAAATGAAACATGAATCTTTGAGAACTATTACAGTCCCTTCATGTCATAAATTCTCAGTTGAATCCCTTTGAGCACAGGTATTTAATTTTTTTTGGAAAGTGATTGTTTTTGTGTGGACTATTATGTACATATGTATGCATTGGTGAAGAATGAAAATTAAGTTTTAAATTTTGTCTTATTTTCCAGTTATGGACACCATATCTCAAGCAATTCCTACTACATTTGTCACGATCCAGAAACTATTAAAAGAATGTTTGATGAGATTAGAAACTACAACAATACTGGCAAGGTTAGACTGTGTATTAATGATGTTCTTTGTTGTTAGTTATAGCTTAGACTTGTTTTTTTTTTAATAATGGGGAACCATTCTATGTTCTTTCTGTTGTTTTGGTATTTATTGTCATGACTCATTGACTAAAGAGAGGAAGGTATCCGTTTAGCTCTGAGGAATGTTGATGGCTGATATTCAAGTGTATGTCATCTTGTACCTGAAATAATGCATAGAAGCAGAATTCAACATTTAAACATGAAATTGTGAAATTTGTCAGATCTGTTCATTGGGCATTTATCATAATATTTTTGAAATGACAACTAGATATGTTAGATTTATTATCAAACTTCCAATTTGATTGTTGCTGATGTTATGCCATCTTTCAAAACATTGTGAAAGTCAATGATAATATTCTATAAGCTAACAAAAGTTATTGAAAAGCAATTGAAATATATGATGTTTTCAAATTTTATTTAATGTACGTTTTTCACAATCAAAAATTATGTAGCAGTCAAACCTGAGATTAAAGACCATCTAAGGGAGAATCCAGAAATGTCCTTTATAGACAAGTGGTCTTTTTTTGGAGGTTTTTCTTTTATAATCAATGACGGTTTAGCAAAGAGTGATCTTTATGTTGTGATTGTCTTCAAAACAGGTTTGACTGTAAACAACAGCATACATTGTATGTAGCCTTATTAGCTGGTACAGTCAAATGTGTATTAAGCGACCGCGCAAGGCAAACACCAAAAATGTAAAAAAAATTCCGACTGACGTTGCAAAGGCCTTTCTTTATTATAACTACCACTCTGAAGTAGAGTTTTTCATTTTATGCTAAATGTTTGTATCTTTTACAGTACCCAGACAGCTGCGGATGTTATAAAATCAAGCATGTTAGAGATCTTACCGTAGGCTTTGATAACAGTCAACCAGATAACAAACCTGTGAGTGTAAACTGATCCTTACTTTTAACGCTTTAGGCCGCTTTAGTGGCAGATGTGAAAATTATCCTATTTGGCTATAATAAAGCCAGGTCAGTTTGCATATTTGTTCAATAGGATCAAGACTTATTCTGTAAGCTTATTTATAAAGTATTTCACGTATTTGATACGGAAATCTCCAAAACTATTTATGGACTGTCTTAGATTCAGAGCAGGGCAAGGTCATAATACACTTGGGGGTTTGTCGGGGTGGGGGATATACATATTATTGATTATCACTGGGTTCTATGTATCAACACAAACCTTTATTTACCTTCAAACTGTTGTATTTCTTAAATGGATTAGTGAAATTTCAATTTTTTTGACTGTCCATGAGCAATTTTTATTTGTTTGGGTCGTCAGACCAAACAAATAATGGTAGCGAAATTTCAGAGTCTAATGTTGTTAATTGCAAATGCCGAAAGTAGTTCACTTTTTGAAGCGGTTACTTCCCTTTATATGTAACACTAACGCCGAAAAATTCAGGGGAGATCACTGCGTAAGATGGTCAAAGACAGGCACATCTATATTCAAGCAATATAATTCCCGAATGGTCGAATATTTCTAATATTGTTTTATTGTATTTTCTGATCGAAAATAAGGAAATACAAAGCGGACATTCAATCTCTGACACAGAAGTTTATGACAAACCTAACAACAAGTAGTTCTCAAAACAGCTTTAAACTAGCGATTTAAAAGAAAGAAATATTTTTATTTTGTTACAAGTATCCAACAATTTACAACGCATTAAAAGTTTAAAAAAAGTGTTGGCTTATAGAATTGTCAATAAATGCACAATCACAAATTACGCGGATGAATATGATTTTATCAATGATTGAAAATACTATTTTTAGCGATGTCGATTACCGAATACTACACAAACCGAGTAGTGGAATATATAGATTCTACATGTCGGACTGTTTGGGCGAGAAGATTTGCTAAATTATTTACTTCAATTTTAAACAACAGGTTTATCCTGAACAAAATACCTCGAAATTAATAAGGATTACAAACCCGAAATGCAATGGAAGTTCTAAATTTTGAATGACTTGATGTTATTCAGTCGTTATTTGTATAACTTCTCCGTGGTACAGGGGTAACGCGCTCGCTTGGGGAGTGAGAGGTCTGGAGTTCAAATCCCAGTTGAGGAAACTTTTTTTTTTTAATTTTTAAGTAGCCATGATATGCAAGGATAAAGTGTGGCTGTCGTAAAAAATGAACATAAATAATTTATTGATGCAACTCTAGTTATGTAGAATTCCGTATGTATCAAACTCTGGTGCCTAGCAAAATGAATTATAATACATAAAAATAAACTTATACAGGAAAATACATACAGATATACAGTACGATTTAGATTGCAAAGATCAGAAAATACCACAGAACTTGCAGCCCTTTGATTCTTTATAAATATACATGCTTATAGTAAGCTTCAGGATGTTAAACAACAGTTAAAGTCATTACAAGCCCTAATTTAGATCGAATAATATGGTTTTCTTCAGGCTGTTCACATATAAATTCACCGTGGCTGAAGGGTTTTCACGCTCGCTTAGGAAGCGAGAGGCCTGGAGTTCAAATCCCAGTAAAGTCAACTCATATTTTTTTTTCAAATTGTTTAAGTCAAATAAACATTGGATTGAATATCAGTGTTGCAATCAGTCTTATAGCCACAATTATAACGCTGGAAAGCATTGGTGAGACCCAAACAAATTCAGCGCCTTCTGTGCTTTGATTAAGATATCAGGATAAAATTTGAAAGTTGGTCTGCCGACAGTTTACTTTAACTGTACAGATGTGCAAACTGGCCTGAATCTATGATTCTGTTGGCGATGGCTAATCACTTTTACTTCCAATAAGATAAAAGTTTAAACTGAGTAAAATAATTGGATATTTTGTTTTTGTTTTTTTTTAGTACAATGTGCTAAAAGTTATAATTGTTTTTCAGATGTTGCCGGTCAGTGCATCTAGTGAGATGATTACCTTCACGTTTGAGAATGGTTGTGTAGCAACAATAAGAACCAGCGGTACAGAACCTAAAATCAAGTACTACACGGAACACAAACCAGATCCTAGTCACGTGTAAGTAATGCTTAAAGTTCTTGATCTTGTTTGAAATGATGTATCAAAGGTCTTCGTCTATACTTAACGGTCAGGGAAATGATGGCCTACTGGTAAAGGTGCTGTCTCTCAACCACTAGTAAATGTGGGTTCAAAACCCTACCTCTGTCACTACCATGTTTCCTTTATATGATGTAAGCAGGGCTTGAACTTAATACTAGCATTTTTGCAAAATGCCAGTAAAAATTTTCATAGAGGTAAAGAAAGTAATGCACAAACTTTTGCTAAGTGCTTGAAATGTAAATATGTAAAGAAACTGATGTTTAAAGCAGTATGCCTTCAGATTTATGCTATAATGCATGAAAATGTATTTAAAAGTAAAATGTTGTGAAGTGAACAAAGGAAGTAATTTACACGTAGCAAACATATTGAGTTAAAAGGTTAAAATACATGTTGTTACCATATCAGTAAATTTATCAGATAATTCATTTTCATATTCACAGACTGGATCGGGAAGCTGCACAAAAAGAACTGGATGATATGGTGAATTGTATTATCAAATATTTCTACAAACCTGGGGACAACAATCTCACAGCTAGATCATCATAAAGTTAGTCTTGAATTGTAATAAATGATATTGTTCTTTAACATTTTCAATGCCAGTGTAAAGTAATGACTTGTATAATTGTTCTATCAGTGTTAAATCCGGCCAGCCTAAACATTTGTCGGGGGGGTTGTTTTGTTTTAAAAAACTTTTTAAAATTGTTAAAGTGATCAATTTTAGCTTTGCGGATTTTTTTGGGGCGGGGGGTCACTTTAGAAGACCTCTAAATTTACAATGGATTTCCAAATCCAAAAAAGGGACAAGACCATTATACAAATTTAGCATTGCAAAGGTTAAAGAAGTTCATATTCGTGTCAGAAAAGATGTTTTTTGTCTCTTATAAAATATTTTACAATGTACATACATGTATATGTGTATAGTAAAAACTTAAAAAAATCTTCTTTTAAAAAGCCCAATGAGCTAGAGCTTAGATAATTAGCATGAAACATCTTCTTATGGGTGTCTACCAAGTTTGTTCAAATAAAAGCCTTTGGGTCAAAATTGGCCCCGCCCCAGGGGGTCATTGATTTTCCCTATATGCACATAGTAAAAACTTAAAAAATCTTGTTTTAAAAAGCCCAATGAGCTAGAGCTTAGATGTTTAGCATGAAACATCTTCTTATGGGTGTGTGGGGGGGTGGCTATATACAGGTGAGCGACCTCAGGGCCATCATGGCCCTCTTGTTTTTCTAAATAGGCATTACTAAAGAGCATCTCCACCTAGTCGTTCTTGTGTTGATTGTTGAATTTTAACATACTGAGTTTCAGTTATCAATGTGTTTTTCAATAGAAACAATTAACTTTGTATTGTGTGAAGTAACAATTATTATAAATGTATCCTGTCGAGTTAAAATTATCAATGTATCCTGTTGAGTAAAAGATTATCATTTTTATCTTGTAAAGTAATTATTAATGTATCCCATTGAGTAAAAATTATAAATGTATCCTGTTGAGTTACAATTACCATTGTTGAGTAAAAATTATCAATGTATCCTGTTGAGTAAAAATTATCAATGTATCCTGTTGAGTAAAAATTATCATTGTATCCTGTTGAGTTACAATAACCATTGTTTGGTAAAAATCATCAATGTATCTTGTTGAGTAAAAATTATCAATGTATCCTGTTGAATTACAATAACCATTTTATCTTGTTAAGAAAAAATTACCAATGTATCCTGTTGCATAAAAACTATTAATGAATACTGTCAAGTAACAATAACTCTTTATGTCATGTGATAACCTGCTGTGAAATTTATTTTAGGTGCCTGGTTTTCTGTATATATCGGTTACTGTCCTTGCTTACGGTTTGAAATATAAATCACACCCCACTTATGGAATGGAACGGTTCAACCTTGACAAGATGATAATTATGAGCTGCGTCACGACAAAACCAACGTAATGCGTAATGCATCGGCGCAGTCTGATCAGGATCCATACTGTTCGCTTACCAACTCTATTACAAGTAGAGATAGCGAACAGCATGGATCCTGATCAGACTGCACAGATGTGCAGGCTGGTCTGGATCCATGCTGGTCGCAAACTCATTACGTTGGTTTTGTTGTGACACGGCTCATATCAACTTCAGGTATCGGTTAAGTTTACATTTTATGCCTACAGTGGCCATTCCATCTATCACAATTATTTGGATGTACTGATAATATTTATATAACATCTTTAATTTATCCTGTTAAGTTACAATAATGTGTTCTGTCTACTGTAAAATTTCTTGATTAACTTATTTTTCATGTTGTTGATGTTTATGTTTGCATTTTTGAATATCCAAGAATAGCATGTGTTATATTTCAAGCATTGTAATAGATTAATTTGAATGGTTAACAGAAAAGCCAAATAATGCTGTTCCAAATTTTATGTTGTTTTTTATAGAGTATTTAAATGTGAAGGTGTGTTTTTATTATTGTTATCTTGTTGATATTTAAAATTATGTAAATGTATATAGTAAATGTACTTGAAAAATGATGTAAATATCACATTTCTATAAACAGCCATTCCATTGGTGTTTTGTAAATGAGCCGCGTCACGACAAAACCAACATAGCCGAGCAGACTGATCAGAATCCATGCTGTTTGCTTACCAACCCTATACCAAGTAGAGAAACTGATAGCGAACAGCATGGATCCTGATCAGATGCGCAGGCTGGTCTGGATCCATGCTGGTCGCAAACACACTGTTGGTTTTGCCGTGACGCAGCTCAAATGTTTATTATGCATTCTAAGATATACTGTTGAGATATTCTGCTATGCGGGAAAATTGAAAATATCAATTGACTTTTGTTATAAGCTGTTGAATTTTTAAACGTTTTCATTAGGCAGCTGTGCTACTTGTTAACTTAATTATATAATGCAAGATTTTAGAAAAAAAATTAAGAGAGTTGTTTTGAACACTTTTGATGTATATATTACTGTTTAATTTTTTAAAGTTAGAAGGCGAAATTACTGCTGTTTGAAGTTATTATTTCTGAAACGTGTTCACCGCTTACAGACTTAATCTCTTAGATCGCAGTGTTCACAAAAATCTCTTTGGTTGCACTGTTCACAAAAGCCTGTTTTTTGTTGGTTTTGTTTTCATCTTTGACCCATGTTGTTGTTGTTGTCATAAGTTATAAAAAATACATTTTGTGTACAGATTTTAAATTGTAAATTTTTATAAGATTAAAGAATTATTACAAGTTTCCCTCAGCATTCTAGTGACAAATATCATAGTCTTCGTTGTTTTATATTCTACATGTTCTTTATGCACTTTTATGTTACGTCTTATTTTATTGGCTAGAAAATAAATCAAGAAAAAGTATGTGTTTTAGTTATAAATAATAAATGTGTACCAGAAGATCAATTTCATGAAGAACTGTGCAAGCATATATAAACCCTTACCTTTCTGGAACCAAAATTGATTAATCTTTCAGTCCAGGAATATAGCCAGTCACACAAATCTCAAAAAAAAATATTTCCAATCCTGTTACATCAAAAAACTTGATAGTGATGGCATGGCCGAGTGGTTAACATGTTTAACTAGTAATCTACTAATCGCTAGCTGCATGGGTTCAAACCCGGTCAGGGGCAAGTTGTTGTTTTCTTGAGCCAGAAACTACACTAATTGCTCAGTACTAGTTGGTTCCAGGAACAAATTTGAAGTGTGTCTATAATCTTAAAGCTTCGTACACAATCAAACTAAAATAAATTCTGTATAAACCAAAGGCCCAACATAGGTGGCTTTGTTTACTTTTACTATTACAGTTTAACAGTCCCTGCCTGTACCTTTTTCTATTTGGAACAATTCTGATCACTTGTTTTTCAAGATATTGATGACAAAAAGAGTATAAAATATAACAAAAACAAAACATGGTCATCGTATATTATTTTTTATTATCAATAAACATGAAAAATATGAAAGAAAATATCTGATGTCATGGTAACCCATGTGAATAAAAACGTGACTGTATTTTGAGGGCATAATTAGACAGCGACACAAATTTATTCGAAAACAAATATCTAACCTTCCATTTCCTCATAAACAGAAGTGATAGAACCGTTCTGTTGTTAAGTATATACATATAATTATATTTATAATAAAGCAACCTTAAGTCAATAATTATATTTATGATAAATCAACCTTAAGTATAAAATAATATATTTATAATAAAGCAACCTTTAGTACAAAATTTAATTCTAGCGTTTATTAATGATATTTATATATCAGGCATTTTCATATGAATTAAGTCTCACATGTACATCACAAAATGCATTATCGGACCCGTAAACAATTTGTTTGTTCATTGTAGACAATATAATTTTAAATGATAAATTTTTCTTCCTGATATCCCTTAAAGTGACAATGGGTAGGTCCAAACATGACGCATGGACAAGTCTATTTTCAACATTTATGGGAAATGAAGATGTACAGAATTCGTTACTTAGATAATTATATGTAATCTCTATGCAAATCAAAAAAAAAATTAATTTTTCCCAGAGCTGTGATCAAGCTGAAGAAGACCAGGACAGGACACAATAAATTCATATTATATTTTAACAAATTTTGAGTTACACATAAATGAAGTTTACAGTACACTATCTTGTACACTATAAAGCAAGTCATTACAAACAAGGTGTTGCAAAATATCATTAAAATAAGGTGTTTTAAAGTGGCTGTATTTTTTAGGGACTGTGCATTTAATGCCTTAAACTTCACCAAACAACAATGAACATAAAAAATACATTGTCAAACCATTTTATCTAGACTGAACTTTAAAAATCATTAAATTTTAAACAATGTTGCAATAACCTTGCTCAATACAAGCCAAGACATATACAAGCCAATTTCAATAAATTAGCCTAAATATTTCATATGTAAACCTTTTTAATTTCAAAGTTCCGGTTATTAAATAAAATACTTTAAAATAATGATTGTTATCATAGTTTGAAGCCTTTTTTAAATTTGGGGAAAATGTTTAAAAAAATTTTCGTTAACTGGGGGGGGTTTTTAAATAAATTAAATTATTTTCGGGGTTTTATTTAAAAAGGGGAAATTTTTTAAAAAATGTAAATTAAACATGCATTATAAAGAATAAAACCTGTAAGCAAATATGCCCCCACTATAAAAATGTAACACTTTGGAAGCATCAATGTTATTATTAAATATATCCTTATTTAAAAATGTACTTTAAAAAAACATGTACAACTAATATCTTTATATATCACAGAATGAATTATAAGTAACTCAAATATCTTGCATTCACAACATTAAAAAAAAATAACTAAAATAAAATCAAATATTCACAACAGTAAACATAGTATTGGACCCAAATTTACTGAGGATTAAAAAAAAAATCAAATGTCAACTGTTTAAATTAACAAATTTAAAATGTTTTAAATAACAAAACAATAATCTAATTTCTTTATTTTAAAACAAACTAAAACTCAAAATTTCTTTTTTTAAAAAGGGGGCGGCAAGGGTAGCAGGGTGGTTTAAATCCAAAATATGCAAAATAAATACCAAATGTTATAACATTAAATAAAATACTGCCTTCATTAATTGAAAATTTAAAAATTCCTGATTTTTAAAAAATGCTCATTGCAACAATTAAATATTGGACAAAATGTGTCTGTTTTTCACTGTGGAGAAATTCACCAAACCCAACTATGTGAAAAGAAATGTATGTGCTTTCCCTTTGTGGTAAAGGAAAAATCACAAACCCTGAATCATGTGAAGAAAATGCAGTGTTTATTTTGGAAAAAAAAAAAACTGAACCTGTAGTGACAGAAATTCGGGTAAAAAAATAAATACAAAACTTTTAAACAACCAACTTTTAAATTACAAATTATTCGAAAAATATTCAGTTTAATTTAATATAAATGTTGCAACCGTATAATAGTACCATGCAGCCTGAGTTTTGATAATGACAAAATTCACAAAACCATTAGAAGACGCGTCATTTGAACCCCAAAACCAACGAATGGGTTTTGCGACAGCATGGATCCAGACCAGCCTGCATGCTGAAGAGGGATCCACTTTCGTTATTCTAACTCCATTACAAGTAAGAAATGATGGAACCATTCCGACGGATCCTGCTGTTAATTACAAACCCATTCAACTAGGAAAACTGATACGAACAGTTTCAATTTGGTCCTGTCAGATGCGCGGAGCGCAACTGGGATAAAATCATCGTATACTTTAAATATGTTTAAGTTATATAAGAAAAAACCAAATCAAAGGGGAGAGCTCACTTTGTTGACGCAAAGCATTAAGCTAACTGAAAAAAAAAATTTCAGCTGATAAAAAGATTTTCACAACTTACAGATTAGGCCCTGACAAAATAGTAAAAAACAACATTTGTGCTGCATTTCCTTACATCATGAACTAATTAACTCAAAGATCTATAATCATACAAAATCTACAAGTACTTTGATTATTTCTATTTTAATATACAAGTTCCATATTATTGCTTGTATATACATGTATATAGGTATATTGAGCAAGCTTTGTTAGAAATATTTATCATAGATAAACATTCAAACAATTTTTACAACACCCTTTTAAAAGACATAATGGTTGACTATAAAAAATGGGCATTTAAAGGGGCATTGCCCAGTTAATTTTTAGATTCTTTTTTTTTTGTTTTTAATGGAATGATAAATTTTAAAAAATGAAAAATGTCTATGTCTGATTTTAAGAATTTTTAAAATTTTATATGAATGAATTATAATTTGAAACTATTTACATAAACCACAAAAGTGTAAAAAGATTTATTTTTACAAACATTAAAATTTCTGGCTATTTAAATTAAATAAATAATTTAGATTAAAATAATTGGCCCAAAGTTATGATTAAAACAATAAAACTTTTAATCATCCCACCCCCCCCCAACCCCCCTTTTATATGGTAAAAAAGTTTAAAAAAAGTTCAATTAACAATTTTTTTTTATAT